TCTTAGCCAAAAAGATTAGTGTTTATACTCCCGCGACATTCGACACGACTTAAGACCCCTACGTAGAACAGACCTAAACGATTTTAGGAGATCAAAGATGACATTTATAGCGACATTATTTTACTTCAAAATAGGTTTTAAAGATATGAAGAAAGTGCCGCCAAACGTATCACTGGCTGAAATGGGTATGGATTCGATGACGGCAGCTGAAATTAAGCAAACATTAGAAAGAGAGTTCGATATTTCCTTATCAGCAAAAGACATGAGAAATCTTACTTTTGCTAAACTTGCCCAAATGACAGCAAAACGAGAAGAAATACAGGATACAAATCAAACTGATTCAAGTAATATGGGAGGTTTTGAAATGTTAATTAAAAAAACAAAAGATTCAGACTTTGCTCCAGACACTCTTGTAGAGCTTGCTACAAAGAACGAGATTGATCGGGATCATATATTTCTCATACCAGGAATTGAAGGATGTTCAAGTGTGTATAAATCTATGGCATCAGGAATTAAATCATCGGCAACGTGTTTGCAACATGTTGTACTTAATATATCTGACAATGTTCAAACAATAATAAAGTTAGCTACTTGTTTGGTGCCTGTAAGAAAATTAAAATTATTTAAAACTATTATTTTAATTATATTTATATAATTTGTAAATAATATCTATCAAATACATATCTTTCGCATTATTACAGCTTACCTATACATTCATATTTATTTTTAGCACGTATTGGAGAAAATGAAAAATCAAAGGAAGTTTCTAATTGTGGGCTATTCATTTGGATCTTTAATTGCTATTGAGTTAGTCAGATTATTAGAATCTCGTGATTTCTCTGGACGGTTAATACTAATAGATGGAGCTCCTGACCAACTAAAATTGATGACTAATTTTGCCCATACTTCTCCAGCCGAATTAGAAAATATAATACTGCTTTTTTTATTACAAGTATACACTCGAATTAACAAGGAAACGGTTAGTAAATTATAAAAAGCGCACAATAGCTTTTTTCAGAAAATTTATTTATGTAAAATTAATAAAACCTTTGATAGACCGCACAATAAAAGAATATTAATAATTATAAACAACTGTATTAAGAAATTATAATAAAATTAACAAAAATAGCAACATATTTTACCAGCATTTGGGAATCAAATAAATCTTTGTATTAATATTGTTATTTTGTATTTAGCATATTTGTTATTATTAATTATAAAAAATGCAAATTTTGTTATTTACAGATTGCGTCAGAGTTGAACAAGTGTAACACAATCGACGAAAAATTAAAAATCTTTCATACTTATTTCCCATTGGATGCAAATGTATTGTCCATAGATAATCAGAAACTCATGTATTACACAATTTACAATCATGTGAGAGCTATACTAGATTACAATATCTCTTCATTACCTCGCATTAAGTCACCTATAACATTACTGAAACCTGCATTTCCAATTATCTCTTTTCCTGAAGAGGATTACGGTTTACATAAGGTAAAAGATTTAGTATAATCTATAAAAAGTAAGGTTCAAAG